TTGATCAAATTATCCCACAGAGTTATTTGAATTGATCTTAGGGATTTATTTAATTATCTACCACCCAGAAGACGAGGCCTCACATAACTCATAAAGGAATCAAAGGAATCAATCAGTCACACTGAGAATCCACTCATTGGAACATTTTATAACAGAGGAGAATTATTATGCAAATTTCTTTCTGGCAAAAATCAGGTTTCAAATAACAGTCTTCTTAGATTTGAAGACGCCTGAATTTCATGTTGCAGTTTTCACTCACTCCATGAGTAAACTAAACTGAAACTGGTTGATATAATGGAAGATAAATCATGTTTAAATTCGGAAAATAACTTCCAAATGAAGTTAAAACAAAATTTTACAGAGACAGCCAATTACAATTCACAGAGGTAACCAATACATACATTTTACTATTCATTGTTCAATGATGCCTTGTTTTGTTTCATAAAATATATTACAAAACACACTTTATTTTCAATTTGAAAATAAATATTTATTAAAAAAAATATTACTAAGAAAAATTTTTGGAAAAAATTATTGGGCCTTTAGACATCTTAAATTAAATATCAGTCATTTTTCCTGACTTTTTCGGTATTTTAATTTGACTCCCTGACATTTCCCAGATGGGTAAAACTTCCAGACTTTTACTGATCATAAAATTTAGACTCTGAAGCAGGCACACCGAGTCATTGGCACATTTTTTTCTTCTTTTTAAAGTCTCGGGAAAACTTGAAACTTTTTTTATGTATTTTACTTATGTTAAATTCAGAAAACTTTGATGAAACATCTTACTTCTTTATGTTAAACAGAAATGATCATAATAATATAATATATAAATAGTATAAATGAGCTTTTTCTGTCAATCTTAAAAATCATTAACACACTATCAAAAGAGCTGAAGACATTTATTATAACAATCTTGCATTACACTATGATAGAAGATGTAAAAAAGGAAACATCAGAACAGTCCACATATACTTTTAAGAACAGCAATTAATATTAGAAAGGGACAACATAAGTCTTTACATTAATTACAATGAATGTTACTATAACAATCTCATTTAGACAGGAGAATCATCTTACACTATTATAGCATATTCCTGATTATCTAATAAAAAAAATGGGTTTTTAAGAAGGTAAAGTTTTTTTTCTTTTCTTTTCATGTTCAGTCATTGCAATATCCTTTCAGAAGACAACATGCATCATCCAAACAAAATTGCAGAGAAATTATTTTTTCAGCTGTAAGCTAAACAGTCATTCTTAAAAATAAAATCTAAACATTTAGTATAGAGAATTTAATTTAGTATATATTTCTAAAGAAAAGAAATCTGAATCTTTGAATAAGTAAAGACTACAAATTATATCTCATTTGATATAGGGAGAAATCACTACTAATTGAAAATCCAGTTATCATACAATAGAAATTCCAACAGTGCGTGACGTAAAAAATAGCAAATCATTGAAACACATTTTAAGTTTTATTTTAACTATCATATTTATATATCTATCACAATAAAGAAATTTCTGCATTTTATGGTAAAATGAAAGATTCTGTTTATTAACAAAAATGTTAGTGCCAGATCTTTTGTGATTACTTCATAACTTTGTTATTGGCTCCACATGACGTCAACATCTATCTTTAATCATACAGGTATACTCTCGATATCTCGAAAGTCTTCTTATGTCATAAAAACATTTTTCTCCTCGGCAATGCATATCCACCTAATCAAGGCCGTAGCCAGGATATTTTTTCGGGGGGGATATGGTAAGAAGCAAGGACAGTTTCAGACATGCAAAGTAGGGGAAAAACATTGTAGCAAATATTGTTTATTCTGTTTGCAAAAGTTAAATTAGTAATTAAAAATATTACATAATACTTATTTTTCAATTAATATTACATAATAATTATAATCAATTTGTAAACAAAGTTTACAAAGACATGCGACAGGGATTCAAAGAAAATTTTTAGATTACTTTTTTAGGACAAACCAGAATATCCCGAAATATGTTTAATAAAGTTAGTTAATAAAAGGTTTGATTCGACAGTTCTTGTTTTTCTTTTTACTGAGAGGCNTTAGGGGGGGGGGGGGGATTTGTCCCGACGGTCCCCCCTGGCTACGGGCTTGGGACTTAATGTTAATTTGAACGCCAAGTTGAAGAGTTTCTTCACAAAGCCTTTCTATGTCTATTTTTTTTCATAATAGAAAATTAATTTTTGCGGAAAAATCACAATGTAAGTTTATTGTTAATTAATTTGTTTCTATTTAATGCATAATTATTTTTGCCTTCAATTTAAAAATAAAATTATTATTGTTGCATTTAGTCTTACAGTAAGCCATCATTGTATGCATATTTATTAGTAGTTATTCTTATGTTCAATGACTCTATTTTTAAGATTCATATTTTAAAATATTTTTTTTCTACTTTTCAGAACATATTCAGTTCTGAACTTATCTCGAAAACTCACTATTTCAAAATTTTTTAGCGTCCCTTCCACTTCAAGATATCGAGAGTATACTGTATTAATACTTGCAATCTTTTTTTAAAACAACTATAAGTAATGATGTTAGGAAGTAATGCAAAATTAACAAAGCACAAATTAAAAAGCTACTATCACTTCATAAAGAATATTTTTTATAATGCGGTTAAAAAGTGAATCAACGTCTGAGTAACAGAATTGCTAAATATTATTTTAATAACAAGAGTTATTTAATTTGCAGACTTAGAAGAAAAAATTATATCATTAGCATTCTTATGTGACAAAGACTGTGCGAATCAAATAGCAAAAATTTTAATGTAAATATCTGTCTCTTTATATATAAAAACATATTTTTGACATTTAGATAAGACTAATAACTGAAACTAGAATGATAGCCTGTTATTAAATATTCTAACAAGGTCAACTTTAACCGAAAAGCTATTTGATAATGTTCGAAATGCTTTTCAATCTTTTTAAGACAACACACAAAGGTCGTCCTAAAATCAAAATAGTCAATTCCAGTTTTTTACATTTTCCAATTTTAATGCAATAAGTGATATGTTTAGTAATTGGATAATTTATTCATAGCTTTTTTTTAAACAATTTTTGATTAAGTATTATTCTGGACATTGGCATTAAATATTTATTTCCAGAGCCACAAAAAAATTTCCAACTATTATGCCATCAGTATATATAAAATAGATGATACACGTGATACCAGTGATGGTTAATTATCTGACTTTGATCAAGTAGTACCTACTACCACAATCTATAATAGGTGTCAATATCAGTTATACTACCCCAGATACTGAATAATCTTTATAATTGTGAGCATTCAAGCAGAAAAATCATTCATTATTAATTTTTTATTTTAACGCAAAGTTTTAAATGCATTAAGCATACAAAGGATTCTTATGGAACTGTAAGAGACTGATAGCCTTAATGCAGTTAAATCAATCAAAAAAAGTTACGTATTTCTTATGTTTTTACAATATATTACTAACTCAAAATATGAGACATTTTTAGAATGGCTTCAAAAATGCATAAAATAGTTTGAAAATGAAAATTATTTTTCTTAACCTTTTCAAGTCTATTCTTGAATGTTTTTAATTAATCAATGCTTTAGAATTTATAAGTCAACAAACTGGTTATTTAAAATAAGGCAGATTAATATAAAGTTTTATTAATTGGTAAATTTTTTTAAATACACTTAAAAACATAAAGTTTAGAAAAAAAATGCAGAGAAATATAAAAATGCCTTTATCTTTTCAAAACCAATAAAGATTTTTGAAAATTAACTTTTTTTCAACAATGCCGCAATAAATGCAATAATAGCATTCAATAACAATAAATATATTTAAATAAATAAAATATGAATAACAAAACAATGTCATTTTCTAATTATACAAGAGAATAAAATAAGTTCATTTCTTAACAACACAAAATAACAAAACATTCATTAAATATGAGACTACAAAACAAGTTGAAACAATTCGGTTTTAACAAATAGTGAGAGCTGTCAAAGAAGTATAAAAAGATTCCAGATTAACTATATTCCAAGTGCTGAATTTGCAGATATGGGCTTTTCACAACTTGACAAATTAAATAAAGTCAGGGTATCTGCTACATTTTAGATTCTTAAATTCATGACTAATTCCTAGATTTTTTCATGACGTACCGAAGTTACTATTTTCTCCGACAAAAACACAAGAAATTTAAAAAAGCATTATAATAACATAAATTTAAATGATAGGTATAAACAAAACTGTTATACTCTGCATCGTCATATTTAAAGATTTTAAATTTAAAAAAACAGTAAAGAAAGAGTTGAACCAATAAAATATTTGAAAAAAATACAAAAGCAAAGAATTTTTTTCTGTAGAATTATATTCTAAAGATACTTTTCTTGTTCATCCGAAAGGAAAGAAATACTCCTGATTTTTCTGTTCTCATTTCGGAATTTTAAAAAATTTGCCAATGACTGGCTTGCTTCAGCTACAATTTTAAATTGATAAAATAAAAAAATAATAACAAAAATTCTGAAATCGCAGAAGTTTAAAAGAAGACTCTAGAAATTTTTTTTTCTTTCATTTTTTGAAAGAACACCATAACTTTTAAACATGATAAAAACATTTTATATTTTAATATAATATGACTGTGAGTGGGGATTTTATTACAAATTCAGATATTCGGAACACCATGAAATGGAAGGGGGGGGTATTTTTAAATTCCATTTTAAAAATTAGATTTAGATTAGACCTAAATCCATGACTTTCCATGATTTTCTTAAAAAAAAAAATAGTTAAAATCATGACAAATTTTGTTCAATACCGAAATTCATGACTTTCCGTTATTTTTCAGGTGCGCGGATACCCTGTAAAGTTTTAAATTAAAAAGTTCTTCCGAGTGAATTTACATGGAACTTTTTGGCAATAAAAACTTTTTAGTTTAAAATAGCAGTCTTAACAGTAAACTTCAATCTAGAGCTTTACAAAATGCATACATTTAATATTTTGCATAAATGCTTTCATAATGTCTTAAATTCAGGCATAGGTGCAGAATTGAGTTTTGTAGCCCTTAATGCCATTGCAAAGATACAAGAAAGAAAAAATTGTTTTAACTTGGATGCAAGTTTTTGCTCTCACAAATAATTTTATTTTTAGAAATCATTTAAAGATCCTTTTTAGTTTCATGCACACTTTTAAAAATTAGAAAATGCTATCTGTTAGAAAAAAACTAACAATCTACATTTTAGAATTTAAATGAAAAATCGCTCTTTCAGAGAGAATACAATTTTGAAGAATCAATCTGTAGGTGTAGGAATAAATTATAATAAATCAGAGTCAAGTCAATTAAAAAATGTACCCTAAATCAAAGTATTTCGTGGAAGCTATAAGGTAAGCAGTTAAGTTTTTTTTTAGTGATTTAATAGGTATATGTATATACATATGGTATTTCGTAATAACTACCCTTAATGTAAATTTTTAGAATCCTCGTCAAAAATGAAGTAAAAAAAGTATAGGCATTAGAGGTGGCAAATTAATATTTAAAGGAGAAAGGATTAAAAATGTTATAAAGATCCGCCATCAAATCACTCATGTGAAAAACAAGAAGAAAAAAATCAGTTTGTCTGTTGAAACTTTAAAGAGTTTCAAATTATTGACTTTCATATTTTCTCTCTGTCTTCTAGGAACCGAAAAGGTTTTGATATTTTTAGTAATTTCTTCCTCAGTAGTGATTAGTTAGATTTTCATAGCACTATCGTTCATTCCTAGCATAAATATTAATATGCAACTTAATGAGTACATATATATATATTTTTCTTTATTTGACAAAGATTCTAAATATATATCACATGTTAAGAGCCTATTATGATAAAAATAGTGACAAGTTACACACAATTAAGACCTCCAAAAAAGTTGAGAAATTAATTTAAGAGTAAATTGGTGACTTCATCAAGTGATAAAAGAAAAATATTATGAATTTCTTTTAAAAAAAAGAAAAGACGTAACTTTTTTTTTTCTAATATTCTGAAACCAATTGCACTCTCTTACACTAAGACTGAGTTACAGAAGTCCATTATACTCTCCTCTTAAGATTGAAACACGCTTGGAAATAAACCTTATTGGCAGTTTTATTTATATGCAGAGTCACACCATTTTTGTCATGTTTTGTGTTGTCGTTGTTCCATCAAAACACCTCTACTAGTTTATATTAATCATTTTAACTGTACACTAACTGAAACAATAGTAAAATCAAGAACTACAAAATACAACCCATAGAAAAACATTCAACGTTTCATCTTGCAGCAGTTGTCCCCTATGAATAAATAAATACAAACTATACTTGATGAGAAATCACAACCAGAATAAAGCTGCCCAATATGAGAAATTGAAGCTCACTAGAGTACATTTCACAATTTTGCTGTCGGTAAAGATAATCTGTCATTAATGCTAAACTGTTTTTTATGTGGTGGTACAAACACATCTGAAAGAAAAATAAATGTAAATTGATTTACTTTCAAAAATTATGTTTTTCAGAAATCAATAACAGAAACAAATAAGGGTGATTAAGGAAAAATGAATGGCACAAAGTATAATAATTTACTTCAAAAGTTTATGTTAATATATTTGCCAGATACCAGAAATTAACTTACATAAAAATACTTTTAAAAAGTAATGAGTAAAAGTAGAAGTACTTTAAGCAAGAGTAACAAGTCAAAATTTTAGATTTTAAAAAGTAGCCGTTTTATAGTACCTTTCAAAAGTTCAAAGTAACCATAAAGAAAGATTATATAGTAGGAAAAATTTATTTAAAATGCAGGAAAATGTTACAAAATTAATTGAAATAATAAACAGCGAAAATATCTAGAAACAAAACAAGAAATCAATATTCAATGTTTGCATATAAAACTACTTTTAAATAACATAATTAAATTAAACTAATTGTGAATTTAATAATAACTATTAATTCTTTAGAATTTTTTTTATACTTTCAGAATTTGTAAGAAGTAAATTAATTTGCTGAACAAATTTGATAACATTTTAATTTTAATTTAGGGAAATGAATAAAAATATTTTTTTTATCATATACAGGTAACCCTGTGAAATCCATTAAAGTAAAAATTATATTTAATTTTTACAAAAGTAAAAAAAAAATCATTTTAGAATTTTAACTAATAAAATAATAATTTAAATTTGTTATTAATTTTTTTTAATAATCAAAAATTGAGCATAAAAGTTTTATTTTTAATATTATGGTGAACTAAATGTTTATATGGTAAAATTTAAAAAAAAGAGAAAAGGTTATTTTATTTCAAATCAGAGAAATAATAAAACTCTAGAATTCTTTTTAATGACTACTAACTCAGTCTTTAATAATTTTAAAGTATTCAATTTAAAATTAAAATACGAGATTCGAACGTAATCGGACAAGTTGTTCTCGAAAAATCAAATTTTGAATATAAGATTTTAAGATATAAGATAAACAGATTTTGAAGAGAAGTTTCGAGACTTAATGTAAGGAAAACCAATATCAAAGATTGATTATGCGCTTTCTCTTAAGCTTTTTTAAAAAATAAAAAAAAATTATTTCATTAGCTATAAAGTTTGAAATCTATATATTTTTTATGAATGGAACGAAAATAACTTTTTCTTAGCACTATTAACAATAACATGTAATAAACACTAAACTACTTTATTATATTTTCTCAATAAATATCGATGCTTGAATTGAAACATTAGAAATTTTAACATCAGTTCTTTTCACAGCTGTGTATTTAATTTCAATAACAATACAATAAACAATGACACTATTTAATGACATCATTTATTTTTAATTTACCAATGTAAAAATAATTTGTCATAAAGACAATTGCTTGAAGTAATACAATTTTAAAGCAAAATGAATGATTAAAATCCCAACATTTATTATTTACGACTAACCAAGAATACCCATAGAGGAATTTTTTCAGAGGGAGATAGCAAATAGAAAAAAACGCATCAAAATATTACAAAAATCATGTCATTTTTATTTAATTTTAAAAAATACTTTCATTTGTACCATTGGAAATGTTCGAATACAATTTCGATAATTTGTTCATTTTTACCAGACCAAAGGGTTTTAGTGTGGAGTTCAGTTTTTTTAATATTATTACAACTTAAAGTTATACTTTAAATGATATATAGTATAAGTAATAGAAAAAAAAGTGTTCGACTCTTATAAAAATATTTTGCAAAGCGTAAATAAGTTGTTTATCGCAAAAATGCAAAAAAAAAAATGTATGAATATTTAAAATTATTACCTTTAAAAAAATTTTACCAATTAAAATTTTAAAAAAATTAAAATTTAAAAATTTCAAAACATAATTTTTAATTTATTTGATTTTAAAAGGGGATGGATGTGAAAGAATTTAATCAATCTGAGGAATATAAACAAATTGGGTCACTGCATTATTTAGAAAATGATTATTTACAGTCATTGTTGCTTTTCATCATCAAATAGAAAATAAAGATTCATTTTCAAAATGTAAGGACAGAAAACATCTTCAAGTGTGCATCTTTCATTTGTTTTTATTTTCCAGAACATTTGATATTAAATTGTTTGATTCCTTCAAAGTAGTAGTCAAACAGAGAAGTCTCTTTTTTGTTTTGTTTACTTTCACCTATTACTTTACGATCTTTCTTCTTTCACGCAAATTTTTGATAAGTGTGAATTCTATTGTACAGATTTGCGAGAAAAAAAATTCAGAGAGATTTTCACAACTGATTAATATGAAGTTAAACAAGTATATCTAAAGAGAAATCTACAGACAGCTGGACGACGGGAGTTTCGAATTTCTCACCAAAATTGCTTTCTTTCCCAACCAGTGATTTTCTTTCCCCCCCCCCGCCACCCTCTCTTTTTCATTAAATTACAATCCTTAAAAGTATTTGGATAAAGAAATTAACTGTTAAAGAATATATAATACATTAAATTTATAAATTATAAAAAAAATGTATTTCAAAATATAAATTTTGAAAAGGAAAGTTTTTGAAATAGTGCAGAAAAAAGTAACGATTTCTTGTTACAAATACTTGTACTTTTTCCTAAAAAAGGCAATGAAAAATCAAGTAAAAGTACATACTATTTACTTTTACTTTTATTACAAGTAACAAACGTAAAAGGTATTACTATGTTTGGAAATTAATGACAAAATAAGAGTGGTAATTGTTAGAACAGCTAAGAGAAGAAAAAAAATCTGTTTGAAAAGTAGGAACTAAAAATAAACAAAATAAAAATAATTTGTGGAGTAAAAACTATAAAATAAAGGTTTAACTTTTTCAGGTATTTACTTTTTCAATAAATCTAGAAACATTACATTTATTTTTCATTTTAAATTATTAAAATAAAATAAAATTCCACAGAAATTATTAAAACTCTACAGGAATTGATAAAATAAAATTCAGAATCATTAACAATCAATATGAAAAGTTCTCATTGTTAAAACAAATTTAACCATACATAAGTTACATTAAATAAAAAGGAATACAGGCAAAATAAGTACACAATACAAAATCTTATATGAACAAAATACCAACAGTATTGAGATAATAAAGTATCATTTGAGTTATAAGTATTTGTGTATGGACAAAAGTTGAATAATATGTCTGTTATACTTAAAGTTTCGATATCCTTCCAGCATATTGCGAGTAAATATGATACCCAAATTTATAAATAAATAAATATAAATGTTTATATCAAAAGTAATCTTCAATTGATTATGAGGTTGAATCATGGCAAACAAAAAAAATCAATGCTAGGTACCTAATTTTTTAGAGCATAGATGTAAAAAATATAATACTTAAATTAACATATTTAAAAAATAGAAATACAGCTTTACAATTTAAGGTGTTAGTATTATTACATAAGTAACTAATGAAAATGTTAATTTTTCAGAACTATAATTATTCAAATAATTAGCAAAATTATTTTTGAAATCTAATGCCTGATGGCATTTTGAAAATTAATGATAATAAAAGTCAAATTATAATATTAAAAAATGATAGAAAACATAACTCTTATAGCACACATTAAATAACATTTATTAGTTACATGAAGCATGTTGGAAGAAACCACTTCACATTTTAAAAAGTAAATGTTTATACATAAAATAGAAAAATAATGTATTTTTAAATTAAGTGAAAGTTTTAAAGCAAAATATTTCACTATTTCAGAAGAGTTGACCTACTCATGAAAATCACATTTAGAACCTTTAATTTGTCATCAACGTAAACTAAATGGGGAGAGCATGAAAATACAAAATGAATGGCAATTAAAAAGTTCTTTGGATTTGGAAACCTGCATTTTAAGGAGTGTTCATTCTGACCCTTACTTTTGAAAAGTTTTTCAAACAAATTACACAAGTAAATGCTTTGTCTTCCAAGGACCGGGTTTTAAGCCGGCTTTTCACCTAGAGACCTTTATTTTAAGGATTTATACAAGACTAATGAAAGAAATTATAAGTAATACAGTGATGAAGATTGATTTTTAAATAACATATAAAATACTGATTTCACATTTATTGCAGATAACATTCATTCATTAAAACTTATAAAACATACAAACTTTAGGATAAATATATACAAAATCTGCATATACAGTTTTCTGATGCAAGTTTCTCTGTGTAATACAGTAAAAAATGAAACTAAAATTGAAAAAAAGAAAAATGTAATAAGCATTAACCGACCCACTTTATTCCTTCAAATGTTAGAATTGACACCCATTATTTGATCAAATAATAATGATACAACTAATACCCAAATCAATCTACCATACAATTTCACTAAACTATATTAAATTTTTAAAAAAATGCTAAATTTCACATTCTTGCTGTGATACTAAGAACAATCTATTCATACTGAGTTTTAAAAAAAATCAAAATTAATGATTAATAATATTTTTAAATTTATTAAATATGAAACAGCTTACCTAAATCCATTAAGATGTTTGCAATGGTGGAATGGCAAGAAGCCATGATGACTTTGTTGTTCCTGTTGCAAAACAAAAAGGATTAATTTAAAATATTATGAAAGACTTATTAATTTTAGCAAAATATTAGTAAAGTGTGTTGAATTATGCAAACAAACAATGTTTAATCATTTAAAAATATCATGTCAATTTCTTTGAAAGGGTCAGTCATTAAAATATACTATACGTGAACATGAATTTTATTAAACCTGAAAAATAATGTACAGGGTAATTATAAAATAATTCTACCAAAATAAGATACTCTAGAAAGCATTTACTTTGAGTGAATGGAATAAAATTATGTATGTAGATATAGTGTGAGCAGCTCTTACAGTTACAGTGAAAAAATTACATACATATAAGGGTGGAAATTTCAAAAATTTGCAAAATGCTTTTTATTGTATCTTCTCAAATGGGCATGAAAAAGGGTAATGTTTGAAAAAGGCCTAACATCATAATTTCTTGTTTTAAAAATAGTGTCCCAAATCCATTTATGAGTTGTTTTCTTTTTATTATTATAGAGTATGCTACAATTAAAAAGAGTGATGCAATTTGAAAATTTCATACTTTTGCCTCTTTATTTATAATTTTTTTCTGATCATTGAAATAGTATAACTCTTTAGAAGGTAATACGTCAGCAAAGTTAATTTACAATCACTGAGTATTTTTTAACTATATATCGGGCTGGAAAGTTCTGTCGTATTTTAAAGAAAATATTTGAATTCATTTATAAAAATATGTGTTTAATATTAATCAATTATATATGCTCTGTTATTTGTTACAACCTGTTGCCATCTTTCAAGTAACCTGTGAATTCCTGTTCTGTAGAAGTTCTCGTCCTAGGAGTTAAAATAGTCAGCAACCGCCTTAGAAACATTTTCAAAAGACTTGAATTTTTTCCCCTTAGATAATTTTGCAGAGATCTGAACAGGTAATAATCAGATGGTGCAATGTCAGGTGAATACGGTGGATGACTAAGGATTTCCCATCCTAACGCATTCAGTTTTTGTAGTGTCACCATTGCAGGGCTGCCACAGAAAAAAATGAACAAAATAGTTGCTTTTAGTAGCCTAATGCTGGCCTTTTTCTTTGATAGCTGCATTCAATTTATCCAGCTGATTGCAGTATAGATCCACGTTGATGGTTTTTCCCTGTTTCAGCAACTCGTAGTACACTGGACCTTTCCTGTCCCACCACGAACAAAGCATTACTTTTCGTTGATGGATTTATGGCAACTGTTGCTGATGATGTTCCTGGTTTGCAGTAAGATTTTTTTCTTTTAATATTCTCGTAAAGAATCCACTTTTCATCTCCAGTAACCAGCCTGTCCAAAAATGGCTCCACATTGTGTCTAATCAGATGTGATGATCATTCTTACACGATCAGACAAATTCTTTTCCGTTAATTCATGTGGAACCCAAACACTTTGCTTTAACACAAATCCAAGAGATTTAATGCGATCTCCAACAGTTGTATGATGAATGCTAAACTCTTCTGCAATTTCTCGACTTGTTAAATGTGGATTATCTTCCACCGTGGATCGAAAAGCAGCATTATCGAACTTGGATGGTCGTCCAGATCGATCACTTTCTTTGAGGCTCAGATCCCCGAAACGAAATTTGCTAAACCATCTTTGATTATTTGAACATTTACAATGTTTTTCAAATACCGTACATAAATTTTTACATGCAACCGATGCATTGCTTCCTTTTTAGAATTCATATAAAATGCAGTGTCATAAATGCACTTTACCTACTGACATGTTTTCACTTTAAATATCACAAGTAAATGAAGGGTAAAAAAGGGCATCTTTTATATTATACAGCAGCTAAAAAAACAAAAAAAAAATCTGATTGACTCATTAGGCAGGTGTTTTTTTTTTATTTACAAGAAAAATCACCTGCCTATTTAAAATACGACAGAACTTTCCCTCCAACCCAACATATATATATAGAGAGAGAGACAGAAAGGGACTGATTAGATGTTCACTAATAATTAAGAGTAGGGACATTTATTTGCATCACTTGTTTTTCTGTAGTTTAAAAACTTTGAGGGAGATTTATCAACCTTCTGCACAGCATCCTTTGAGCCTACTTTCTAAAACTTTAAAATTTATCGTTCAAATGCATTAGTTCTGACTAAAATAATACATTTAAATTACTGTGCTGATTGGCATTTTTAGCAAATAAATTATATGTAAAATTCACCAAACTAAAAATTGGAAAATTTTTTTAAAAACTAGGCTAATTTTTAATAAGGAATTAATTAATAAGGAATTTTTAAGTAAATAGCATATTTTTTCCCATGTAAATATGAGTAGTGGAGATATAAAAAGATCACAAGTTTTATTGTTAATAAAACTTTTTTCAGGTTTTAAAGAAAATAGCAAAATAAGATGTTTCAGTTGCATATCCGCAATTCTTGACTATTTTTATTTCATTCTACAATTTTATTTTAATTTCTTTCACTATATTCATAATTAGATTATCATTTGTTTTCAAAAACATGTTAATACAAACCTACATTTAGTATATCTAATAGCTTAATTGTGAAAACATGGATAATTGTTGCGGTGTGAATTTGTCTGTTGAAATGATGGAAGCTGTAAAATTCTTTAACACTATTATCCTCAGACTATATTGAGTTTTTACGAATTTTGAGAGTTCTCTCGAAGATGATATTATTTTTCAATTTAAGTCTTTGTTTTCCTCCAAGAATAGGCCCTCAATATATAACGCATTGATGTCATTTGCCTTATAATCAAAATGAAACAATTATTAATGATGGTTAATCCAATAAAGATTAATTATTGAAGAAAGAAGTGAGTGACTTACTCAGAAATTTTGGACAATGCTCCTTCATTAATGAGAAAAGTGATGCAGTTATTTACAATATCTAATGAGAGACATCTATAATCAGTGAGAGAGCCATGAATGATTGCATTTTCAATCTCACTCTGACACTCCAGGGAAAGTTTCTTTAGGTCGGAATTTATTTTATTCTCAATTTGGAATAAATGTTGAGTAACAACCTAAAAGATTCAACAAAAATCAATTAAACTGCATTCTACACATTGATTAAAAAAGTATCAAATTTAACCATTTTTAATATTATTCCTTACTTGAACATACCATTTGACAATAATTTCTAACATGAGAGAGTGAGAGAAATTTAGGAAATAAAAAATTATAGACACTTTTTTTTAAGCAATTGAAAATTTATATAAAATGTAAATAGAAGCATTATAAATTTTAACTCCACTAAAAATTTTCTAATATGTAGTATACAAAGTGTCAAACAAAACGCTTACATGATAAGGTTCATAAAGATTTTTATGGTAGAGAGTTCTTTAAAAAAGGATTAAACTATTAAAAAAATGGGGGAAAAAACTCAGCAATTAGTAATTAGTAATAACAAACATACAAATTAGAACATGGCTGTTAAGGTCAATTCTAGGGATTTTATTAATTTAATTTTAAAAAAAACATCATTCCATGAGTTATCAAATTACTGTATATATATAAATAAAACATTTCAAAGATTTAAAAAAAAAAAAACTAAATTGTGACAACCATTCTTTGTAGAACGGTTTTATATACAGTTCGTCCTTTGAAACACTCAGAATGATGATGAGGACTTATAGCATTATATATTTATTTTAGATTCTATGTTATTACGCTCAATTTTACAAATATACAAATATTTAAATCAAATAAAAACAAAGTCCAACTTTTTATCTCAAGAGCCCCATAGCTCCCTTCTCCTTTACCTACAATCTATCAGTATCATGTCCATAATGAATTTCATTTCTTCCAAAAAGGTTCTTCTCATTTAACTCTTTCCTCCTCCACTATAGGAGTCATTCAGATGTGTGGGAGTGGAATCCTGACAAACTTCAAAATTTCTCAAAATGAAATAATTTTTAAAATTAGGTTTTACAAAAAAAATTTATATTTATCAGGTTCAAATATTTTAGTTGAGTTAATTTTTCACTTCAATGTAAAAAATATAATTTTAATATAACTAGATATAAAATCAGGGGCCCCTGACTTGGGGTCGTGCATGTGAATAAAAATTTCAATACAGGATTTTTAAATTGTGTGACATTATTAAGGCCTTCAATAGCCAAAAATACATGATGAATTGGGAGTTTACATGAATTTTTAGTATTTATCACTGAAAATCGTGACCCATTTTGATCAAGGTCAGAATCCATCCACGAACACAGATACCCTACTTTTAGCAGCAGTGGATTGACAATACAAATAGCAGGCGATGATGCGAATAATTTAGAAGATATCTGGACTATGATTAACATTGCAGACTAAAAATTACTTCAATAATATCACATAGAATATAGATAATTTCAGAAAGAAAAGGAAAATCAAATTGAAGATAAAATTTGAGAGACACACTTACATGATAGGTTTGAAGGAAATGGACTATTAAAGAACTCAAAAATTGAATTTTGTGAACATTAGACTCCACTGGTATAAGTTTCAAAGCCTCGATTGAAATGATGTTTTCTTTTTCGAGTGAATCAAGAGCGTTTAAAAAATCCTAGAAATAGAGACTCAAAATTAGACACAACTAATCAGTAAATTTATTAGTAAAAACTTCAAACAAAATTTAAAGTTATTATTCAAAAAACATTCATTAACTTCTATTAGTACTGTTATAAAAAATATTAAAACTTGATATCAAATTTTAATTCATTTAGAAAAAAGTCTTCCAAGTCAATAATGTGAGGAAGGTGTTGAGTAGCAAAAGCTATTCAAATTTAACTTACAAAATAATAATTAACTGAGAGAAAAGATTAAAAAAGGTTAGGATTTTAAAATCACAATCAGTAATGGTAGTAATTGCAAAACCTGAGTCCTCGCTGGAAAAAAAATACATTCTTATTTAATAAAAAGAAAGGTCTTTACTCACCCACAGCAAATATCTAACATAATCATTAAATAAAAGTGATCACAACTCTGCAAAAAAAGCTATCCATTTTATTTCTTAAACATATGATTCACACAACACAAATTTTTTATAGCCACAAAACATTATTTCTGAAGCACAGCAACTATGTTGTCAGATAAGTTCTTGCAAAAAATATATAGCATCACCAAAAAAAAAAAAAAAAAAAAAAAAAAAAAAAAAAAAAAAAANAAACAAAAAAAATACAGTGTGACAAGATTGTAGGAAAAACATTGCTTCTTAAAATTGGCAAGGAATACAACACTGCTTGGCAAAGGAGCAACCATGTGCCGAATCGAAATCAGGTANGAAAAAAAAAAAAAAAAAAAAAAAAAAAAAAAAAAAAAAAGTTTAAAAAGGGGTTAAAAGATTAGGAGACGTCAACTACAAATTGAATGTTCTAGAGATTTTCGAGTTTTACTGACAAAAGGATCAAGTTAACTGAAGGTAACAGCATTTCAGGTGTTGACAGTGAGTTTAAAGACTTGAGGAGGTAAGAAATTCCAAATACAAAAGATTAGTGAAGGTCCTTCCCATGCCCATGGAATTTCCGTGAGAAAGCAGCTTAAAAGGGTAACTGCTTATATAATGAATAAAATAGTAAAACATTAAATAATTAAATTAATAATTAATCCAGGTAAATATCAATCATTAAAAAAATATATAATTATTCTAATAAACAATTGCTTAAAAAATTTTTTGAACAATGTATTGTAAAAACAAGATATTTAAATATAGTTAAGTTCAGAACATAATGACTCAAAATTGATCACATGAATAACATAAAGAGGTAGTAACATTATTTTACTCAACTAATTAACGATTAATCTTTAATTCAAAAATAATACTAATTAAGAGTGATGAAATAATTCAAAAATAATACCATATTAAAAGCAGCAAGATTAAATCAATGCAATTCATTACAAATTAAATAAAACACATTATACTTCATCTATTAAAACACATTATATCATACTATACAATCATACGATTAAAACACATAGAACACCATCTGCAATAAGGTGATACAAATAAAAATATACTCCTATGACAAAACAAAAATATTACATATGTGATAAACCAGAGGGTTTCTGGGGAGGAAATGAGTTTTACGCACAATGTTTTAAAAATATTATTCTCTGATTCAGTCATTTTTACATATTTTATTTTAACGATGACAAGACTTATACTAATGCCTTACTAATTTGTTCATGTGACACTGTCAGGGATGGATCAGCAGCATAATTATTTTGGAACAGATGGATCGTGGAAAAAATGGATTATTAAATTTAAAAAAAGTAATGGAAATGCAATAATGAACTACTTTTCAAAATTTATTTCTTCTAGCTCATACTATATTTAAATATGCATTTTAAATAATTCTAGAAAGGGAAACTGTTTAACATGGGAACAGCTAAGGGACTGTTCTGATATGTTAAAAATTCTGATTGCAATCGTTATTCATCATTGAAAGACATTAAGATGATGAAATTTTTGACTCTTTTTAGTGAAATAGAAGGAGAACTTACCAAAAATTCACTGAAAAAGCAACATGAAATATTTAATTAATATTTCAGAAATAAATTTTTTTTTCAAACAATAAAATTAGCTTCAATATAGCTTATTGAGTAATGATTAATAATCAGCATAAAAGAAATTTGTAGAAAGATTGCTTTGAATTTAATACCCAAATTAATAAGTGTGTACAAAAGAAAATAGTCATTTTGCTTTTAAATAGCAAAAAAAATGCCAAAAAAAGGCTATTAGTAAATTTAAATGAAATTTTATCATAAAATAAACAATAAATTTTAAAATTAAGAAATCTAGAAATCACTAAAAAAATACTGATGACAAATATAAACACTTAGATTAGAAAAATACCTCTTCTGATGACATTCTACTAAACACAAATTCACGACGAAGTAATTTTCTTAAAATTTCATATTTCAAGAAGACATCACCTGTGAAAATTGAAAACCAAAATTATAAAATAAAAACAAAACAAAAAATTTCAAAATTCCAAATAAAAAGTAAGAAACACTTCTATGATTATTAATTTTTAAACCATAAATTTAAAATACAAAACTGTGGTTTTATCCTAATGTTTATGTTAAAATAATAGTTTTTAAATCATAGAAGAGTTATATTCTTTTTATTTTTTCACTAAACTGATAGTATAAACACAAATTAATTATGTAAAAAAATATGATGAAAGCATAAACATATTACTATAATATATTACTTTTTTTCGCATGCACTTATGTTTGAAACAAGATTCTACAGAAAAGTAGCTTTAATTTATCTTGATATTTTCTTTCCAGATTCATCCAAGTTTTTTAAGGCTGAGAGAATTTTTTATAGAAAATACAGCTTTTTAGTACTTTTTGATTTACAAATGTATTTTTTGGAGGCCTTTCTGTAATTCTTTAATTAAATAGTTATAACTTAAAATAAAAAATATCACAAATAACAAAAATCCAAATCCCTCCCCTTAAAAATGTTTTAAGTGTCAATTTTAACAAACTGAAGAATCCTTAGAGATATTGGTTTAAAAAAAAAAGAAAAGAATATTAAAACGTCTTGTTGGTTCAATGAGCCAGATAGAATAAAATATACTGAAAGTGCTAATAATATGTTGCCTGTGGTCATTGCACTTCTTGCCCTTGTTGTTACTGTTAATAAATAAACGAGATTTAAAAATATAATAAAAAATTATAAAAATGTTAACAAATAATAAGATAAAAAAATGAAACTAGGCATTTTCAGTTAAAAGAATTAACTAAGATCTTAAAAAAGCGAAACCAAATATGTTGTAAGTACCAAAAGTCATGTCAAATTAATTTCATTATGTTCATATGTAATTTAAGTTTTTTAATGTAACTAGGGATCTAAGCTCATAGTTTGTTTCTCACCAACCCCGATGATTGCTCCGCTATAATAGTTGCTTCCAAGCACAAAAATAGTTTTTTTTTTCTTTTAATTTAAATTATTCACTTAAAGCATATGCACTTAAAATTTCTGCTTGCTGACGTTTATGGCCCGCTTTCCACAACTAAATTATTATTTTATTTTTTTTTTAATTAATGCTTATTTTGAGTCAAATTTGCTTGGAAAAAAGTATGAAATGTCTCGTTTGACTATATTTTCCTTGTGATACTATTAAGATCAATTAATGAATATTAATAGTTTAGCTTAATAATAATTTTTTTTTTAAATTAAAAGGTTGATTGTTATAGCAAATTTGGTAAATTTATAACTGTAATTTGATATTTTTGTTACTAGACAGGCTGATATATTGAATAAAATTTGATCAAGTGGATCATTAAGTCCTAAATCATGAAATAAATCTCTTCAACAGTAATTTATAATAGCATATTAATGGAATTTACACCAAAAAATAATAATCACAAAACAGTTTAGTTTAAACACCCATTCAACTATGCTAATCATAAAATGTAGCATAATAAGGTAATATCATAGAATTACGTTGTTATAAAGAAAAATTCTTTTAGTTTAAAACTTGTTATTCAGAAAACAATAAAGCGTAACAGTATTAGAAAAATAAATATTGTATTTAAATTAGGGATATAAAAATATTTTAGAGGAAAACAACAAATATATGATTTTTATTAATTTCATTCTGATAACAACAAAAAGTATATGAAAATTAAAGTGGAAAAACTGGACCCTATCGTGATTTTCGGCCACTAAAAATGTACGAATATTGCAACACCACCATTACATTTTTATATATAATTAGAGACATACTAGTTTTTTATAATTCTTGTAATGTACAAATACAATTTTTGTTCTAATCATGACACAATTCCCCCCCCCCCCATACTTAACAGTTTTTTAGACCAAACATTTATTTTTTTTAAAAAAGGAGAATCTCTAAGGGGACGCATCACAATCTTCTCTTAACCTGAAAAAGCAAACTCTATGAAGGGATAACTAAAGCCTGATAAATTTTTGAAGGTTTTTTTTTAAAGTAAAATCATTGTGTACTTTAGATAAAAAAAATATTTCCGTTTTTACACATTTACTACAACATAAAAGAACGCATCTCGAACTTTCAATCGTAATGGTATCAAAGAAATTTAAACACACATTCATTCATGAGAAGAAAGAATATTTCATGCTTTTCTAGGAATGTGTAATTTAATGAGGACCCATTAACAGTATAAAAATTCGGTTGAACCCATTTCTATATAGAGGCAATACACACAACAGTATCAATAAAATGCTACCTTTTAAATGAACATTCTGTTCATCACACATCACGGCTAGACAAACCATGCAAATATTGACCAATAGCTGTAGGGCTTGGTTGCCATAATGATAGGCAAACATTGCCGGAATAGCAGACCTGATGCTGGCGTCAGTGAGTCGTGATATACTGGATGTGGGTGACGGACACTGGACAACACCCTCTTTGAGTGAGATGAATGAATTGGTCACCTGAAGAATGTTAGAATGAAGTTCAAGCTGCTCAGACACAGAATGGTATAAACTTTTTTCCCCTACAAAAGAAATCACGATTAAAAGAAGCCGAATGAAGCATTATGCTATAAAATTAGTATTTTGGAACCTTCATAATAAACAGATTAAATAAAACGTTAAATGACTTTGATGGCAAGCACCTAAGCTTTTCCTAAATTTTTGATTTTAAATTAAAAAATTTCAATTTCAAAAATATTTCCTGTTAAAGCATAACAAGGAGAATTTGATTTTGATATTAAGAAAAGATGGATCGTAATAAAAGGTATTTTATGACTTTTGAATGAATTAAACTAGACTTCGAAACATGAAACAATTTTCGCAATTTTCAATAAAAATAAATTATTTATATATTAGGTAAAAATAAATTATTTAATTATATTTTAATATTTAAATATTTATTTTTTACTTGACATACAGAGGATTACTAGATGGTTAGTTTTTAAGTTTTGTAGCCTGTAACCTGTATAAAGAAAAAGTTTAAAAAAAATTTCAAAAATAAAAATGAAATGATATTTAAACTAAAATGGATTTCTTTCAAAGACTTTAAAAAAATTTAAGCAATAGCAAGAAAAGAAAATTCAACATATCAATGTTAAGATTTAAACTAAAAATTTAAATAATCTTATTATCTAAAAAGGGAAATAATTGATTTAAAACATAAATGTAAACATCAATAATTAGGATGATTTATTATGCCTTAGATATCAGAATCGAGACCTTTAAAATAATTATGACAATAAAAAGAGGGGGGGACTATAAAAATTTACTTAATTTATTAGAAGTAAAAAAAGAAAATTTTAAAAAAAATAAAAATACAAAAAGAGAACTGAATTTTTTTTTTTTTTTGATTTTTAACTAGTCTTAATGTCAAAAATATGTTTTCAATACTATTTAATTCTACCTTATAATAAAGAAATTTTGTGAACAAAGTAGAAAAGAATCAGTTACATAAAATCATATTACATATGTAAATTAGTAAATGGTCTCCTGTTAAATGTTAATTTATTATTGAATTCCTAATCAAGACAACCATTATATAGACTTAAATATGCAAAAAATACGAAACTTGGTTATAAAAAAAGTGTAAAAAAACCTTGGATAAAAAAATATTACTGCAATTTAAAAATTAAATATTTTATTAAAATTAGCATCAATATTTCAAATAGTTAAACTATGGGCTTCGCAGATCAAAGTTTCTAATATACTCCAATTGCTTGTTCAAAGGCTATTGGAATGATAAATGAATAAAACATCACTAATTGTAAAACATCACTATGTGTAAACAGTTAAGTCTAAATATTGTCAACTAACAGACCTGATTAGTTGCAGAGCCAATGTTTTTTGCTGCCAACACTTTTATAAAGAAAGGTAAAATTTAAATAGCGTTGTTTAAAATATAATAGGAAAATCAAAGATGTTTGTTAAACAAAATAAACAAATACAATAATAGCATGTCATAAGAAATGTTATAGAAACACTTACCCGTGTGAATATAGGTACCACTCCTTTTTAAAAGATCTTGCATCCAAAGGGTATAATCTAGAAGAGTATCAAAGAGAATCCCACCATATTTTGTCACCTCAGGTTGGCCTATAACGAGGCATATAATGGGAAAAGGTGAAATAATTAAGTTAGATTGATGCGAACGTATGATGACATTTGCTAAATCTCCACACAGCGTTTGTTCTTTTTTAACTGGTACAGATAAACTCCTATTTAAAATAAAATATACATAAGTATACACAAAAAATGACAATTTTAGTACTACACTACATTTTATTAGTTTCAGGGATGAGAGTAGTCAGAAAGTAAAAAAGAGGAAATACAAGAATGAATATACAATATATATATATATATATATACACAAAAATTTGACAAAAAAATGCGATTTTTAAACTTGTAAACGATGTGATTATAAATCCCGATGATAAATTTTAAAATTGTATGAGTATGAATCACATGCCTGATTTTAAATTGAGAGAATATGAATCCCGATATGAGACTTTTAAATCCCGTGAATATGAAACTCTATATTGAATTTAAAAAATGCAAAAATGCAAATCATGATGCGTAATTTTTAGATCACATTAATACGAATCACGATGCATAATTTAAAATTGCGCGAATAGGAATCCCAATGTCTAATTTTTAAAGCACGTATAAATACGAAAATCAATGTTTGATATTACAACCGCAAAAACGAATCACGGCATTGGATTTTAAGATCGCGTGAATACGAATAACTACATAGGGTTTTAAAAGCACGTAAATACAAATCGCAATATAGGATTTTTAAATCTCGTAAATAAAAATCGCAATGTACAATATTTAAATCGCCTGAATAAGAATTGCAGCGTTCAACTTTTAAATCAGGTAAATGCGAAAATCGATGTTTGATATTAAAATCCCGTGAATATGAATCGAGATATTTGCAGAGTCTGAACTTGAGATTTCTAAAAGGCTTGTTTGTATTGTTTTTGCTTAGACATAATAAATAAAAATGTGCAAGATTAATTGAATGAGCAAATAAATATTTTCACAGCAAATCCACCTGTATTTTTTTTCTCGTTTACTTTTACGCCAGAATACAGGAAGCAGCGACGTCTGAATTGCGAAAATACGAGCTAACCGGCGGGCGGATAAAAATACGGAAAATCTTATTTTCTGTACGTATAAGCGGAGAAAATAGATATTGCTAGAATAATAGCATATAGCGGAGAAAATAGATATAAAGAGTTAGCAGCTAGGACGTAGTTTGAATTTTCTGTTTATCTTTGAAAATCGTAAATAAATATAATTATTTTATTTGAATTTTCAAAAAAAAAAGCGGGATATTTATAAAAAAAAACCAAACTTTTAGAGAATTGGAATTATTGATAAAAAGGCTGAAATTCGAGAGGTAAAAGCGAAAAAATCTCATCCCTGTATAAAGGTCAGTTTTATCCCAAGGAAATGATTTTTAGCGAAACTTCAGAGGGAGGAATGAGGACTTCAATACTTTCACTCTGCTGAATATTAAATTCTTCATAAAATATTTTAACTTGTTCAAAAAAAATATTCCGCGGAAATTAGCGGAAAAAATGGAAAAATCAGAAAAAAAGCGGAAATCCGCGAAAGAATCACATCCCTGTAGTTTAAACTATACAACATTTTAATACATCATTAATCAGGGCCCACGCTTAGGATTTCAAATTATTAGCCAGTAAATTACCGAAATATCTGAAGTTTTCGCCAAATGCAAATCTTAAAAATTTGTGATTAATTTTTTTACCAGAGAAAATTCCTTTACGGCAGTTTTCTCAGACTTATATTATTTGAACCCAATTCTAATTGATTATGCGGCTCATCTGTCGAAAATTACTGTAACCGAATAAAAAATACTGATATGTTTAGAAAAATTCATTTACACCAATACTTTCTTCAAAACACATTATTATTCGATTTTATTGCCATCGGCGAGGTGGCAGATGCTTAGCACGGGCCCAGATGAATAACGAGTAGTAAATTTAAGTATTTAATTTCTACTTTATAACAAACTCAAATAATTAAGCTATATTTTATAACAAATACAGTCGGACCACTATTTAATGAACTTCCCTTTTGCGAATTTCTCTATTTTGCAATTTTTTTCGAGGAACCAAGAACATTTTGGAAATTTCTTTGTAAAATAACTTCCAAACAGTGAAGTGAATTTTCTGCTTAACAAACTTTACTTCGAGATTCACTTTCCCTATTTCCCAAAATATTTCAGAACATTTCAAACTTGTTAATGCATTTTATGGGGGAAATGACCTTGAATTGATTTTCGCAGCCACTTAATTATTAAAGAAAGCTGTAAAATCCATTTTTGTTTGCNTGTTTGCATTTCAAACGAAAAACTCAGACAAAATTAATGGATTTTATCAGTAGCAATTAAACTTAAGAACGTATGTGGTAATATACGTTTAAAATTACTTTTATATAAAAGCAGCTATAATTTTATACATTAATTTATCTTTTTTTAGTTGAAAATGTATGTGGCATGAAAGTGTAACACTGGATAATGTTTTGCTCTATTCTTACTTTCCATGCTGATTTCTTTTATGGTTAAGAAATATAAAATAAACAGTAGATACTAGTGTACAAGATAAATGTGTATCAATTGCTATTTTAATTATGTCTAGTGTTTATGAATTTAAAACTTGTTTTGTGCTGTTTTAGCATTTCAAAAGGTAATTTTCCATTTAATGAATTTTCCATTTAACAAACTTATTATCAGGATTTAGCGACTTCGTTAAATAGAGGTCCGACTGTATTAATATTTAGTGAACATTTTATAAAAAACATATACAGGGTGATTCAGTACATCAGTTACAAACTTTGACGGGAAGTAGAACACATCATAAGGATGGAAAAATGCCAATAAAAAAACAGTGGCTGTTTACATTTGAAACGTTACTTTTGTTTATCTCATGTTTTCTTGTAATTATTTGTGTAGAAAATCGCATTCCAATGGACCTTGGAATATCTACTTTATTGTAATTTCATTATTTGGCAATCAACTATGACAAAGCAGCTGTTTCTGGCTCATTTCCAACAATAATTATCGCAAAACACAAAATGAACTTTAAAAGATAATTTTGATAAATAAAAGTGCACACCTATTGCAGTTCCTTATGATGTGGTAAACAAGATTGCAACTGCTCTTCTGTGTAACTACTTAACTAATAAGAAGGCATACCTTGGATGGAGGTTATGAATACTTCTGTCATAGAGAGAAAAGTGCTCTCTGAGGGATAGAGGATCCCCAAACTTCACATAAACATTTCCAAAATAATCAGACATCACTTTTCTGGCTTTAATTAAACCCTACAAAAAAAAAAACATTCAGCTACATGATTCAGATGGATGTGTTAAAACATTTACAATTGAAAGATTCTAATTAAAAAATTTACTACCCTATATCCCAATGCCATCAATGAAACAATAGTCTTTAGGTTGAAAACATTGTTTTCTTTGGATAGGATACATTTGCTCTCAAATAAAGATACATTACAGTGAGGTGACGAGTTAAGCAGGTTAAATTAGTACCTTTAATGTAAGTTTAGAAAGTTTTCATTGTGTTACATATTTTGAAATACACTTAAACAAATTATCTTCACTTCTCCTATTCTTAATTTTTTTTAAATAAAATTTAAAGTATATCTAATTAAAATGCAAAAGTATTGATTTGCATTAGCACTAGTATTTATAGAGATATTCAGTACTCAAGTGCAAAATTGTTTAATTTCTATAAACAATTGAACAATAAACAATTCAAAAATACCTACCTTCCTTCAACATGATAAAAAATATTATTTGAAGATTTTGAATATGCTTACACATTACTTTACATTTCAATTAAATGCATGCAACTTAACAATTTAACTTAAGTGTTAAGCTGCGAACAAAAATTTTATATTAAAATGCTTAATTAATGCATGTGTTATATTAATGCATGTAATTCGTTTTGTTTGTTAGTATGCATGACAAATGTTATACTTCAGCATTTTTTATTACAGTACAGAACCCGTTATCCGGAAATCAGAAAACCAAAAAGCCGGAACAAAATTCGATAAATTTTCCCGCCATTTTTTAAAAAAAAAATTTTTTCCTCATTAGATTTTAGGATTTTTCGTTCTTTTTTTAAAGATGTTTACCTTACCATCATTTTGGAAATAATCATTAGTGCATTACTCCATCGTTTTTTCTTATTTTTAAGATTATTTCCAAAAAAAAAATTTTTTTTTAGTTGTGTTTAACAATAAAAAAACGGCTTTTTGTAGCGATTCAGAAAACCGGAAAAATCGGTTATCCGGAATAGCGATGGTCCCGATCGTTCCCGATAATCGGTTCCCTACTGTATCATTACTTAGCAGCATTCAATTTGCAATTGCTTTTTTTCAATCCACTTAAAATTATGTATTTTTTTTTTAAATTGAACAAATACAAATTTTAACTTAAAGGAGCATAAAAAATATAGGACATAAATAAAAAATATTTCAAAATAATGGGTTTATCAGGTCTAAAAATGTGCTACTTATGAAATAGTGAAGTAGAGCTTTGTTTTAGTACTAATGATTTAATCCATGTAAAATTCAGAATATTTTAAATGAATTTTGAATATTTTTCAATGCTTCTTTCTCATAAGTATTGTATTTCGAAATCATCAACAAATGCAATGAAAATTTGTTTACGCTGACAGTAGAAAAAAATAAATAAATTGAAAAATAAAATTCAAAAAAGCACTTCATTCCTATTTATGATTTTGACTGTAGCTTGGCCAAAGAATACCTAAGGAGGCCTTTTCATTTCAATTCTAACCTTCAGTAAGNTATTTATGATTTTGACTGTAGTATACATAATGTAATATTTAATAAGACTAAAAAACATAGTAACTTTCAATTATAATTTGTTCTTTTTGTTGCATTTTTTAAATAATTTTTAAAACTAGCATAACATGGAATACACAGTAGTCTGTTATATTTTAAATTTTAGAGACCATATGACCTTTACATTTACTCACAATAATTTATTTTACAAATATATTTTACAAAAGAACAATACGTAAACATTAAAAATTACTCATCACATAGATTTATTTAAAGAACACAGACTCACATTAGCAATTAAACTCAAGATTATAAAGATTTGTATGGAAAATTTTGAATAGTGAATTATCACTTATTCATCGGTCTAAGGCAGTGTTTTCCAAAGTGGTCCATATGGACCCTCAGGGGTCCGTGGTACCATTCAGGGGGTCCTTGAAAAATAAAAACTGATTTAGGGGTCCCTGAACTATGTCAGGGGGTCCGCATGAGGTTTAATATAAAATAATAAAATTGTGATTGGTTTTTATTATTATGGAAATTAAGATAAATAAAATCGTAGCAATTTTTGCGTTCTAAGTAAACTATAAATAAAGGTGGGTGCTTAAAATTATTAACAGTGGTTTGTTACAAATTAAACAGTTGATTTACAAATTTTCTCATACCTTTTGTTCCCTTTTTAAAAGATAACAGTATGAATGAGTCTAATAAAAAACGCCGAAAATACAGTGTCGAATATTTGAAGTAGGTCTTTATTTCCTCACCAGGAAATAGTACTTTTCCTATGTGTCTTCTATGTAATAAAACTGTAACAAGTGATTCAATTAAACATTCCAAGCTTAACGAACAATTGATTAAAATCCATAGAGACAAAAAAGATAAAGATGTAACTATTTTTCAAATAGTCAAAGAAAAATATCCGAAAACACTGTCACTGCAACAACTTATAGGGACAACATCTAAGCGAGGTGACGATGGATTCCATGTTTCTCATAGTTTCGCATGTTTCTATATATTACATGATTGCAAAGTCCGAAAAGCCTCACACTATTGAAGAACTTATTTTACTAGCTGTAAGTGAGATAATACTCACCGGGTTGCACAAACCAAATTTCAACGTTGTAAAAAGAATTCCATGGAGTAATAATAATGTACAAAAAAGGATTGACAAAATATCTCAGTGTCTAGAAAATTCTTCATGTGAGTACTTAAAAATATCTGAATTTTAGGAGTCCACTTATCCAGGAAACGAAGCTTTTACTTTTAGCTTATGTAAGATTAGTAAAAGAATAAAATTCTTACCAAGAATTGTTATTTGCTAAATGTTTGGAAAGCGATACGAAAGGTGAAACGCTATTGACTGAATCAAAAGTTATACCCTTGACTAATATCATTTCTGTAGCTGCTGACGGTGCTCCGGCAATGGTAGGAAGATACCGAGGTTTTCTGGCTAACTTAAAACAAGCTGCAGCAAATGTATTTTCAGTACATTTGCCAAACATAACGAAACTAATTTGAAACTAAAGGATGAACAATTAAATTTAATCAAAACTAAAATCGTAAAACTGCGTTTGTTGCAAAACTTTTTCTGTATAAACAAAGCTTGGGAAGAGGATATTGTTCTCTCAGTTTCAGTGCCGTAATGAACCTGGTCACAAAAAAAATAATAATAAATAAATGATTAGAAATTAGTGCTCACAAACATTGAGCCGGATATAAATACACTCTTAAAATCTCATCAAGTTCATCCAAGTGATTAATATTTTTATTTTATTTTAAACAAAAGATATAATTTCAATAAATAGTTCTTCAACAAAATGTTTGTTTTTTTTTTCATTTATAATTTTTATACCGTACATATATGCAGTTTTTCACTAGGGGTCCGTGGGCAAGTTTTGACTATAAAAAGGGGTCCATGGGTCAAAAAGTTTGGGAACCACTGGTCTAAGGGAACAAAGCGCTTAAGTGAAAGAGACGCACAAGTGAAAAATCATTCAAAGTTCTAAAACGTTACATAAATTGCAATGAGAGTGTGAATAAAATTATTTTTAAAGAATAAATGTTAACATTTATAATGTTTGGTATTTATTATAGCTATACAAAGAAAAAAATTGTAACAGGGTGTGTACCCATATTTTACAATAAAAAATATGCACCTTTCAACCAATTTTCAAGCACTTAAAAACATTTTTAAGCACTTTAAAAAATTAAAATTATGCAGGGTTGAAAGTTTTTATCAATTGACAGTTATAAATCAAGGTTTTAACTTGCATGTAAAAAAAAAAACTTTTGACATAGTTTTTGACAATCGTCAAAAGCCCAAAATTTTGGTGTAAGTATAATTGTTAGCTATTATAAATATAAAATACTTTTAAATTAACATACATGAAAAATTACAAGTGTTTCATCAATTATGTTCTTGAAATATTTTAACTTAAAACTCTTTTTGTTTAGAAAATTACTGTCAAAAACACAAATTTTGGTGTAGAAAATATTAAATAATTATAAATAAAAATGCGGCAAATTGCAATTTATCCAATTTGCGTAATTATTAAAAGTAAAAATACAAAAACAATTATCTTATAAAAAAAAACTTTTAACAATCATCCTATTCTTTATATGTAAAATCAGTTTTAATTTACTTCATTTTAACTCCTCTTTTTTCCAAAGCAAGGGATAAAAAAAAATAGTTTTGAAGCCCCCCGTACTCCAAGTTCATTTCATTTTCTTCGGATTGATGATCAGCTGTATAAACTAGAATGTTGACCTACTAAACTATTATAACATAATAAAATAACATGTAATTAGGAAATTTATTGTAATAACTGTACTAATTATTGATGGTTGAATTGATTAATTTAAAAATTATTATTAACATTTATATTTTTCATAAATTATAATTAATTTACTTATCAGGGAATATATTATATTTATGATTTATTGGAAATATTCCTGTACATATAAGCAGGAGGGCAGAAAATTCTCAATCCCTAATATTTCCTCAGAACAAAGTTTTTTTTTTTTTCTTTGATCGAAATCTTGCCAAAACTTTTAAAAATTTTCTATTAGTACAATAAATTTTTTAAAATTTTTTTGGAAAGTGAAGTTTATATAAGAAAATAAATTGTTCGATTTAACAGAATTCTTGAATAAACTAACATTTGTTAAAAATTGTTAGAAATAAAAATATCCCACTCACAAACTTAAGGAATTTAAACTAAATACACAAATTTACATTTAATGCTTTTTTAACAAGGAAAAATTTGCAGAGCGATACATTTTTCAATAATAAAAAAATTTCTAGGAATTTTTTTAGACCGAAAATTTTTCTTTGGCCCCCTGAATTGCCCTCAAAACATCATTCATCAACATCATTAGACATATTCTGCCAACCAGCATATAAGTAATTATAACAAACATTAAACATAAAAAACTTAGTTACTTGGTTCAGTATTTAAATTTCTTTAATGAAATGTTAAAAAAAAATTTTTTAATAATTTTGAAATGCAAATACAATGAGTAATGAAGCTCAACATTTTTTCCCAGCATTCTTAATATTTAAGAAATTTGAGATAATTGAATTTTTGTATCAATTGTTTTTAAATAAAATCATTAAGAGATGAATTAAAGTTTTTAGGAATGACAAACTTGGAATTTTTTCATATAACTAAACATAATTTTTGCTGCATTTAAAATATTAAAAGAACCTCACTTCATACTTTTTTAAAATTTCGGCTCTAAATATTATTGAGTTCTCGTAAAACAACTTAATACTGAAAATTTTAAAAGTAATAATATAATAATTGATAAAAAGTAATAAGCAAAAAAAAAAGAATAAAGTACAATAAAAGTTTACAAAATTTTTATGCAATTGGTGGTATAGTGCATAGTAAAAATTAATAGTATATATTACATATGTAGTAATATTATAGTAAATAATTAATAGTAATAGTATAATAATTATAATACAGTATAATAATATTACAGTAAAAATATTACGCTTAAAATTCTGAATTAATTCTTAATCTTCATGAATAAAAGGGTGATGGAAATTTTGAGATGAAGCTTTGGGATTCTTGACTGCTTTGGGACCCACATAAAAATACGTATTAAGTGAATGATCCCCAAGTCAAGTTCAAAGATTAGGGTACCAATCTATAAATAGAATATCTCGAGAAGGCCATTAGCTTGCCGGTGACGAAAACTGGTGAGTCACCAATGATAAAATTAACAAGAGAAATAAAATTTTCTATCATTATCAGAGAAAAAAGTTAGCAATGTTTAGTGGGTCCCTGTACTCAGCAAAAATACGAGAGATTTTTCAGTTAAATTTCAGAAGATGGAAAATGAAGCCTGAAACTGAAAATCTCCTGCAAAATGCAACAGAGTTACGAGCGAGAAGCCAAAAATCCTTCCCACTGAATCCAGCTCAGTATACACACATGCGGATCCGCAAGTATTTCATCAAACATGTAAAACGATTGGTGTTTTCATACGCCACAAACCGACGGTTATCCAAAAATAAATTGGGCTTGAATTAGTGAAAACGTTGAATAGAACAATGTCTTTCTGCATAATTTGTAATGAAAATTAACATGGTTAAGAAAAAATCTCACTTTGGAAAAGGAAAAATTAAGCACTTTTTAAAAGCACCTTTAAGGGCTTTTAAAAAAAGGAAACCAAAAATAAACACCGTTAGGCACATCATCATCTTTGTTATCGCTAAAACTTAACCAAAAACTAAATGTTTTTTGGTGGTAAGGGAGAAATGATACAATTTTTAAAGTGTAAAGAAATTCTTGGTGACATAACATGCTGCACAATAGGTTGCTTGATTACTAGGGACATTCAACAGATCACTTTTTATTTATACTATCTGACTGCAACCACAGTATTCCAAGTGTCCTTTTGTTAGATAACAGCATGGGAGTAAAGTTAACAGCTCAGCTTGAGCAAAGATTATTTCCCTGAAGATGAATGGGTTTTCAATGTGGGGGGTGTAACAGATAACATCCTATACTAAATAGTAGAAAAAATGCCTTCCTAGAAACAACAAAGGTGAAAAAGTTGCAAGTGGAAGAAAAATGAACTACTATTCCATTGGATTCAGCAACATATTTCATTTTATTTGTAACGAGACTGTTTATTTGTGAAAATTTTTAACTTAAAAACTTTTTTCTAAAACAAAATGTGAGTTTTTTTTTTTATTTAAAGAAAAAAAAATTTGTGGCTATTCTAAGAAAAATGCAGACGCATAATTGAATTATTTATTTTCAGAGCGAAGAAAAAACAAATGATAATTATCATTATTTTCTTATATAATGAGCAGGGACCTTTGAAAACCGTCGTATAAATGTAAAAGGGGTGGTGTATAAGTGAGGTCACTGTAATGGAAAATTAAGTCATTTAAAGGATTTTTTTCCCTTATAAACAAACATTTAATTTAAACTATGGTTTTGTATAAAAAATTTTATTAATATAATTTAGATCTCAAAAGTTAATGTAAGTAGGACTATAGATTTTATTTCCAGAATATTTTCTGAAAAATAATTAATGTTAAATTTGATTATTTTCTTCAATTTGAAACTAAACAAAGAAATAAATTTGAATTTAGATACCTTAGTAGATTCTTTTGGTTTTGGAACTCCAAGCAACTCGTATGCATAAAGATTTTCTTCCAGTGTTCTATCATATGTGATGCTGATAGGTACAATAGTGATATCAGGTACTTTAGAGGAAAAATAAAGCTCTAAAATAGTTTGCAGCATTCCTTGGGAAAAAAAAGCAAAAATTCATTATTCAAGGATTTCAACATTCTAACACAAAATTTTAGAGCAGATTAAAAAACAACTTAGTTCTGAATTAATTGGTTCAACCAAACATAAAATACAAAATGGTTTTATTATTGCATAGCAGTTTTGGAAAAAGGCTGAATTTTGAAAGGTATCAAAACTTCGGAAACAGGTCTGCAAAATTAAGAATCAAACTATAGTAAAAATTACAATTTAAAGAAACTATTATATTAAATAAAATATTAATTGAATAGTCTTTCAGAATAGATATAGTCTTTATTAAACATTTGGAGTTAATCCACTTTAAATTGTAACATTCTTCTCTAGTTGTTTAAAAACTTATTTGGAATAATTTCTTATTAATAGCTAATCCCAAGATTTATTATTATTTTGAAAACTGGAACTTGGTTTAATATTTTAATTAAAGTATTTCACTAGTTTTGAATGAAACTAAACGTTAAAAAAAATAGTTTACAGTTTATTATTTTTAAAATTTTTATGCAATTTGAATTGTCAGCTGGATTGAAATCATTTTTAAAAAAAACTGAATAAAAAGAACAATTTAAACTTTGAGTCAACTTATTTCTATGATACCAGATTTGATTTCTTCACCTTAAAAATAGTTAATAAGCCCCCCCCCCCCAATCCCATTATAAAGTTTTATAAGAAAATTTCAGTGTTTTATTTAATACAATATTATTCAAGAGTCATAAAATTCCAAAAACATATCCAGAAGAATAGACAAGATACACTTTAGTATAATTTGTGGCTGCTTCCTCAGTTCAACATGACAAAATTTTTGCCATCTGTAGGTCACAGGAGGGCCGAGATGAACAACCCAATTATGAATATAGTGCTTTTGTTTCTGCTTCTGGCCATCTGATTAAAACAAGCATGCAATAATTATGAACTACAGATCAGGCTGGTTAAATCATTATGAATGTATACAAACCTCGCGCACCTCACCTGGCAGAGCAAAAGTGCCTATGAAAGATTTAGTACTTTGGAATGTTGACAATTATATATGACGGAAAAGATTTTTTTTATAAACTTCTGGCCAAAAATATTGTTTTGTCATTAATTTAGATGTTGATAAAACTCTTAGGTGAGAATTGTGAATATGTCAAATTTAAGATTGAAAAGAATCAGGAATTAATGATTGTGGTATGTTTGGGGATAAATCACAATATACTGTTACATATTCCAGGGAAAAATAGTGTTTTTAAATAATGCTTACTGATAGGAATTAGTTGCAATTCAGTTGAGCACAAGATATTTGTTTAAAATCTAATATAACTCTTTAGAAACGTTATCTATTTCAATTCTGGATAAGAAGTCAGCTAAATATGTTTACTTTACCATCAATGTGGTGAACATCAGTTGAAAATTGGGAAATAAAAACAAGGTGACACACTTGTTCAGAAAGTTTTTCAGGCACTAGCTTGAAAGAATAGGTAAGAGATTTTTGACGAGTTAAAAATTAAAAAAAGTCTATCTTCAAGCATTTGACATAAGTGTATTGCTAAAAGTGTGCTTCTTCAGTTTTATTTGATTTTGTTGAAAATAAAGTAATTGGTTCCCAATTATCACCAGTGAATTGCAGTAAAGAACTGTCAATTGCAACATCAAATATATCAGTTCAAAAACTAAGTTATGAAATTTTAATAGTGTTGCATCAGCAAGAGCTTGTTTTGCAACAGAAAATGATTTATCATCATCACCACTCTAATCTAAAAGTTTTTCTGGCTTTTGAGATGGCTTATTTAATTTCCCTCTAAAAATTTGCTTTATGGTGATAAATTTTGAGCTGTTTTAGGAATAAAACATCTGTAAATATTTAACATTTCTAAAAATTAGTGCAACTGAGTAATTATGTTAGGTTTAAGAAATTCTAAAATTGCATCCACGTGATCAATTAAAGGTTCGTAACCTTTTTCAGAAATTTTGAAACCTAAAAAATGTTAATGATAAATTAAATTAAAAGTAAAATATTTTTTCTCAAATATTATTTCGACAGTAATATTTGGAGTTTCTGTAATTTTACCATTATCTAATTAAAATAAGTGAAATTTAAATGCCAAAATCCGAAACCAATGTTGAAATGAACATCATCCTTACCTAATTTTGGCACTAAGGACTTGGCAGTCCTACTGCGAGTTCCTTCAATAAAGAACTCTAAAGGAAATTCGGCTCCTTCAATGTGGGTTTGAACATAGGAGGTAAAAATTTCTCGATACAGCCTGTCTCCTACAAATGAGCGACGGATGAAAAATGCACCAGCTCCTCTGAGTAAAAAACTCAGATACTTGAGACCAAGAAAATCTAGATTAAAGGGAGATAAAAGACATTAGAAATGCAATAAATGATAAAAATCTAAACCCTATGATGCTTTTGGGAATTGGCAAATACTTGAAAATGACTTTTCCTTTCTAATAACCATTTTTCTACAATAGGGTAACTCTACAGAAAAACATGCAAAATTGATTGAAAGACAATTCTTCTAAGAATAAATCAGTTTACAAGTCAATTCTAAAGACATAGAGCAGTAAATAAAATCTCATCATGTATAATTTATAACATCCATTATTCAATACTCATTAAAACATAATCAACAGTCACTTTAGATATGTAACACCATAATATATAAGGGTCGCTTAGATGAAAGGAGTGTGTAATAGCGTCACAAATGCAGCAAAGGTTGCCATGAAGAAAAGTAGGAAGAGTATAATGCAGAAGGCGAATAACTGATTAACCAGTTTGCATGTGTTCAATTTTCAAACGATAACCAAATTACAAGTAAAATAATATAAAGTAGCCTATGTTAAGCACAAAATTATTTTTTTAATCATTAACCTTCCAAACACATTTAAAAACAAACTGTCTTCTTCCTATGATAATCATTCTAGCTATGCAGGGGTAGAAAAATAAGAAAATTTAGTCACTGGTCCAATATTTTATGACCAAATCATAAAAGTGGAAATCAAAAAGCCAAAGTACCGCAACATCCCTTAACATAGATTGCTGGTCCGGGGGACCCATGATAATTGCTTAATGGTTGTCTAAGTCAACTGTAAGTGGTCGTGGACAAACAGGTAACCTGTTCATTTTGAGCCCTGTCATTAGGTTTTAGTGAGTTGCTTTTCATGTTTCTATAAACAATAGAACGACATTGGTATATCTTTTCAAATAGAAAAATAATGTAAGAAGGAGAAAATATCATACCCAAACTCTTATAACTCAAAGGATCAATAAATCTTGAATCCCTATAAAATATTAATCACTCTGATCATCCCAGTGGCAGAATAGCAGCGACACGGCGACATTGTCGCAGAACGTTACAGAGTTCTTGCGGAAAATTTTTTCTTTTGAAAAGCAAAAAATTTTTCTTTTCTTTTCTACATAAATTTACACGTAATATTTGAATCATACATTTAGACAATCACTTTTTGACGCGCTCAATTTAAGCGGATAGTATTGTAAATTGATACAATGTTTTGATTGTATTTTTGGCAGTTACTGATATTGATTTTCAACTGGTTTTCTAATATACCGATTTATTTCGAACATTATGAAAAATTCGTCTCGTGCATTTGGGTATTTACTTCTTAAGGCAATATTTGGCAGTTATTGCTATCGATTTCTTCTCAGTTTTTAAATCAGATATTTTTTATACAATATTATTTATTACAGCAACCTAATCTCGAAACGAAACACGTATTTGAGGAGTGCGATTCGAGTGATTTCTTAGTCGATCCTTTTCTTGGCAATTACTACTACGGACTGCATGATTTTTAATAAATTTTTTTAGTGTGATGACTATGCAAAAAAGGAAACACTAAATGCAAAAAAGGAAACACTTTGTGCATCCCCCCCTAAACAAACTGCAAGATTATCACCCATAATATTAGAATAAAAAATTATTACATGTTCAATTTAAAAAAAATATTACAGTTTTTTTTTCTCTTTTTAAACACAGTGCTTTTGTTATTTAAATTAGCTACATATATGTTTGTTATTATTAAAAGTATCTTAGAAAAGTGCTAGAGAGTTTTGTCGCAGATAGCTTTTAGAAAATTCTGCCACAGAGCTGATCATGATAATTAAATCACTAAAATATTAAATATGTAATTACCTAAACCAGCAGCTATGACAGGCACAGGAAGGTTGAAGTAGAAACAGATGTAGCTGACCAATAGAAAGTCAGAATAACTTCGATGAGTGGGCAAGTAAATTACAGGATACTGAGATGACACAGAAGATAGCTAAAAAAATTCAGAATTCCAAACGTTTCAACAAAAAAAAAATTTTTTTAACTAACTATAATTTTAAACTAAAAATTTAAATCAGAGTTTCTAAAAACTCTCAATAATTCCAATCCAGAAAATACAGAAGATCTACAATTGGCATTTTAGTACAACTGTAGTGATGTTCTGTGCTCAAGACTACAGAACAGATTGTCACTATTTAATCTAATAGTTAAAACAATTTAAAAATAAATATTTACTTTGTTGATGCCTTGTTTATCTACCAATATCTTTCCGTAAACACTTTTCATAAATTTTGAGAGTACAAATCCAAAAAATCTTATGATTCGAAACTGAAAGTTATGTGACATCTCATCAAGAATTTCTTCAGCTTTTTCTTCCAATTCTTTTTCTGTATATTCTCCATCTTTACTTATCTAAAATTATTTGAAACAATTTCAGATGAAACAGTTATTTAATTTATAGTAAAACAAACCAAGCGATAATAAAACACATTAGAGCAATAAATGAGTCTACTGAGACTTCATTATCAGAGTTATCTTCAGTGCATCTAATCACATTGAGACAGTCTTATTTTTAAATTGCTGCAATGACGAAAGATCTTTCAAACAAAAGAAAAATTAAAGTAGCTTCATAATGAGGGGGAAAAAACCCTGGTAGCAATTAATTCACAACCCACTTGTAAAATCCACACATTTATAAAACTGACTCTTTTTCAAAATTTAATCGAGGGAGGTTACATACACAAAACAATTGTCTGTTGAAGGAATAAGTCTATTAGGAGGAGTGCAAAAGAAATGGTTCTGCGTCAAAAAAGATGTAATTAACACCAAATAATTAGAATATGGATGATATTTTAAAATACTTACATGTCATTTCTATTGTCTTTAACTATACGGAAATCAATTATTAGTTACATCAGATTAAGAAAAAAATTAAATAAGGAGTGAAGAGGCCAAAAGAAGAAAAAAAAACTAAAACGGATCATACCTATAGTCTGGGAAAATTTAATGGCTAGTTTGAAGATTTAGAATGAAGAATAAAACCATAAGAGAACATACACAATATAACGAAACTAGACATTTTAATTATTAAATAATTATCTAATCTATAAAATAAAAATAAAAGTTTTTTTTTAATGATCTAGTGAAGTTTCAAAATCAGATTTTAGTTTTTAAAAAGATTTAACAATAAAATTTTTAATGATCTAGTAAAATTTGCGACTAATTTTTTAAATATTTGATCATTAAAGCTAGAAAAAAAATTTCATTGATTTTAGAAAAACTTGCCCAGTTTTTCATTTTTGAAGAGTTGATAGACTAATATCAATATATGGGAAACTAGCAAGGAATATTGCCAAATATCTATAAGTGCTTTTTATTCCTGAAAAAAGTTAATACATTATTGTCTCAACATTTTAAATCAAAAATTCTCAACACTCCTAAGATTTCAAAAAGTAAATCATCTATATTTTTGTAAAAATAAAAGTTATTTTCCAAAACATGCAATTTGTTATCGAGAAATTCATCTTTCCATAAGATCACTGGAACAATACTATATTACTCTAGGGACTTTATAGAATGTGCACTACAATTACATTTAGGATATCTTTTATAGTATCGCTAAAACCTTGCCAACTAATCAATGCTCCAAGTAGAAATCAACTATCACTTTCATAGCCTTTATTACATAAACTTAAGAAGAAGAAAAAACTACTATATAAATGCTTAGAAAAAAGCAAAATATTGACAGCAATTTATTATACAAATGGGAAAAACAAATAGTTTTCCATTGGAAATATTTAAGAAACTACTAGGTATTAAAAAAAAACTAAGTTGTTAAGTTGAGAAAAAGAAAAATTTCTTATTTCAAAAAATAAAACTTTGATATTTGGCTCTTTAAAAATATTTTTCGTATTAAACAGTGGTTGAATATATAGTTACATCCCTAATATAAACTTATTTACATAAGTAATGCACTCTCCTCACAAACAATCTGTATTTAAACATTTATTGGGATGTCATTAAATAAGTTGACCTTAATTTCTTGAAATAGTTTTAAGAAAAAGATTTTATTATACAGTTCAGATAATATAATCATTAAAGCAAATTTGTAAATGTCTCGGGTCCTCTTCAAGTTACAAGAGTAACCATATTTTAAATTCCCCATTCTAAAAAGACTATTACAATTTAACAGGTTTTTCAAGTATAAATAAAAGTATTTGTTCTTCTGTATAAAAATTGCTTAATTTAAAATAAAAAGCTCATACATAAAATCAAGTCAATGAACAACACTATAATATATGTAAGGAGTAACCATGGAATTCTTCCAACAAAAATATAATAGGTATAGCTACTCTAAAAACTGAACGAAATGAATACTATAGAAATTATTTTCAATTAATAACTATAATACAAATTCATCTTTAAAAAATAAATATCACAATACTATAATTATATTTAAAATATATCTTGGTATTTGAACACACAATTTCAAATCTAAAAATTGTAATTTTTCGTAGCTTTTATGACACAAATGTAATAAGAAACAGCACAAAAAAAGTTGATCTACTACACTTCTGATGCATGAAAATTAATAAAATCACCGCTAATTTATTAAACAAACAAGGAAAAGTAAAACATTTTAAATAATTTTCAAACAAAACAATAGGTAGGGCTTGCTACATACATTATCACCTAAAAAATTGTACAAAACGAGTACACATAGAAATTATTTTTTTAAAAAACAATGGTACATATTGATCTATAAGAAAAACATGCATAACGCAAACATCATACTTTTTTTCCTTAAGCATTTGAAAAGTCTAGCTAACTGATTAATTTCATCTGTGGAAATCTGATGTCTCTCTCCATAACTTCTATTCCACAAGTAATAATAAAGAAAAACAAATTTTCTTCACATAAATAAATATCAGTAATAACTGGACAGCTCGTTTAATAGACAAATGTGGAACATTTTAAAATACAAATTTTCCAAAGCTTCAGTACACCAAGTCGCTATTTTTAACACCTTTTCTGTGGATTGCTGATTTTTTTTTTAAAATTAAAAATACAGTACAAACTTACCTCAGAAATTACATTTTTTAGTCTATCACAGGAGAGAACATATTGTTTAATTTCTTGAGGAGTCCTTTTAAGGGAATACCGGCATCCCGAAACATTCCATGGTTTTAATGCCCACCCAATATCGGTCGTTTTGTGTCGTCGGTCACTTAATATGTCCACAAACGAATCGTTGTTCATTTTAAATGAATTTACGTTAAGTAAACTGAATTAAAATTCAATTAAGAGGTAACCACAGAAATATCACTGTACAAACAAAATCATCATCATCACAGAAAATGCTTCCATGCGGTATATGTTAACACATTTTATTCCATAATATAATTGATTTTAATAGCTTGAGATATAATAAATAACTAATTAACTGGTGAGTAACACACGATTGTTCACAAGAAACAGCATTTAATACACAAATTGTAAAAGAAATATTCAAAACAGCCACTCATCTCATCAGCCGGCAACTTTAAGATGTTTTTAATTCAATTTTGCTGACATTACTAGAGAAACTGGATGTCATACGAAGACGAAAAATCGCCAAATGTAATTCCGAGCTTCCTGTCACGCCACTAGAGAGAAAAAGATCCGTATCCGTAAGATAAACTAAGAAAATGTACAAAATTTTTCAAATCCGGATGAAATATCAAATGTTATTTTTTCTCGAATTATAGTTTAAAGCTTTGAGAAGAAAAAACATAACATTCATAATTTTATTTCTACTCCGAATTCATACTAATGAACATACTATCGCCAATATATGTTTTTGGCGTATTTGTAAGTAAAATTCTGATTGGCTATAAGATATCCTTTTGACAATCGATCTTTCACCTGATTCTTTCATGCATAACATTTTCTTACTTTCGTCAACCCTAAACAAAAAATTTTTAGATTGACTTTTGACTTTACATTTAAAAGTTATACTTAAGATTGTATTCCCTTTAGAAATGTGTAGGATTCTTTCATTTTAATTTTTGCAAAGTTTTCTGTTAACATTATTAGGTGTTATTTAGAAAGAAAGAAAATCAAATGCGTAGGCGCTTCTTCTTTTTTTTTTTTTTGGAAAATCGGTACATTAAAAACATCTTTTATAATTTGCTATAAAGTGTACAAATAATAATGATTTGAAGGGACTAAACATTAGGGGGGAAAAAAGTTTGCCTGTTGTAAAGTGTATGTAATAAAGCTTAATTTTTTTTATTGTTTAGCACACTGGCGTCGGAACCATAGGGGTCCGAGGGATCCGGACGCCCCCAATAATTGGGAAGCCAGGGTCCATTATTTTGAGAAAATATTTCTGTTTTGTTGCCATAACTTTTAATTCTTTTTCTCTCTTTCTTATTTTTACATAGTGCAACTTATTATATTATATAATTAAAAGAAAATTAGTAAAAAGTAAAATACACACAAAAAAATGCACTGTATAAAAAAATAAAACAGGTGTTTAGAGAACTACAAGAAATGTCACTGCCACCCTTTCCTTCAATAAGCAATAAAACACTCTTCCCACCATTCCTTTTCTTCTCACTGATAAAGATGATTCTCCCTCAACATCACACACGTAGTCATTTGATACCCCAAAAATAGCCGCCTTATGGGAAAGGATATGGGAAAATGGTCTTAGCATTTTAAAATTATCTTAATCGTATTTATGGCCCTTGGCTCTTTTGTCCTCTGTTTTTAAAATGTCAAATATCAACAGACCCTTACCTATTCATAAATTGTCTCAAACAGGCAATTATCTGGAATTTCTAGGGGGGATTTCTTTTAGGTATGGGGAGATTCTTGTAGACATTCTCTATTTTTTTCTTTTTTCTTTTTTGGTAGTTTTGTCAGGAAAATTTCTCTGACATACAATTATTCTAAATCTTCTCTTACGTATAAGCGCTCACAGTGTTATTCCCTCATTATTTAAATTAACTGGAAATTTTGTTAAATTTAAATAATTCTGTTTACTTTTATTTTTTGTTTCATTAATTGTTTTAACTTAAATTATTAGTTGTTATTTTTTTTTAAATAAAGTTTTAAGAAGTTTTTGTAATTAAGTTCATCGTTGGATAACAAGAAGTCATTAAATATATTCTGGGGAGGTAAGCAAATGTTTGTATTAAATCACTTAAGTTTATATACTTCAAGAATTGTTTTATAGTTTGTATATTAAATTTATTTCTATAGTACATTCGTTCATAGATTTACTGTTCATTGTGCATGAATTTATTTTGAACGCTCAGAGTTACATCTTATTTTACATTTATAAAATCAATGTAATTTTTAAAATTATAAATCAAAACTTGGAATTTCCATGACCTTCCTATAACTTTGTTTTCATTCAGAAATTTAATGTCACATTAATGTTTATAAGGAAATTTACATATAATTTAATAAAAAAAAAATTTAATGTAATTTTTGATTATTTATGCCCTAAAATAAATAATTAGCATTAACTTGCATTTTAATTAATTAAAATAATGAAGAATTACTTTAAATGCAAAAGTTTCATAAAAAATTCATACGATTTTATTACAGTCAGTAATTAAAACTAATAAAAAAAAAAATTTACGAATGGGATAAGTTGTTAAACTTAATTTATTGTATGAGTGTTTAATGCTTACTTCATGTAACTTTATTTATTTTGTTTTTATCAAAATAATATGGGATTTTTAAAGTAATTATTTTGTGCTAATTAACCTTTTCATAATTTGGTATTTTGAACACATATTTTTTTCTGGATTAAAAGTATTAATTTTTAAAATTTTAATGCTGAAACTATAAGTATACTCCCGATAGAGGAAGGAAAATAAGAGTTCTATGCGTTGTCTTTTTTATTTCTTCGTGTACATTTATATGAAGTTTTTATGGTTACCGAAATGGATCATGCTATCCAAGAAAACCAAAATATCTCATCTTGCCTGTTTCTTTGCTTGAAAATAATAAAAAGGTAAATACATTAAATAAAATTTGCATAAAAATTATTCCCATCACAATTATTATAATTTATCATTTCTTCAAAATATGAATACTAGTTCTGTCAATCAACTGAATATTTTTATTTTCCTTTTTAAACACAACCATTTCGATTTTTAAAACTATATAAGTTGAACTGGAACAAGATGAGAAAAATAGCTAAGCTTAAAACTGCTTTAATATTCTTGAATCTCTCACTTTTTCTTCTTCTTTTTTTCTTTGCAATTTAGGGTTTTATAAATATATTTATTTTGACCACGATAATCTCTACTGTAACCAATATTAAAGATAGTTTCTTCAGTATTATTTTTAATGTTGTATCTTTCATCTCAGAAATCCAGATCAATTCAAATTCATAGTAAAAAAAAATTTTTTTTTTTGTTAAGCAAATCGTTTTATGACATTTTTCTTATACTTCTTTAAAAATTCGACTACAATTTAAAATGTTAAAATATGGCCCAAAAAATATATCTCATTCGTGATTGTTTTATTACGTAGGATTACATGACATAATATTATGCATTTATAAATTTCATGTCATTCTCATCAAAAACTTTNGGCCCTGGGCTCTTTTGTCCTCTTTTTTTAAGATGTCAAGTATCAACAAACCCCTACCTATTCATAAATTGTCTCAAACAGGCAATTATCTAGAATTTCTAGGGGGGATTTCTTTTAGGTAGGGGGTATTTAGGTAGATATTTTCCTTTTTTCTTTTTTGGTGGTTTTGTCAAGAAAATTTCTCTGACATACAATCATTCTAAATCTTCTCTTACGTATAAGCGTTCACAGTGTTATTCCATTATTATTTAAATTATCTGGAAATTTTGTTAAATATAAATAATTCTGTTTACTTTTATATTTTGTTTCACCTAATTGTTTTAACTTAAATTATTAGTTGTTATTTTTTTTTAAATAAAGTTTTTGTAATAAAGTTTATCGTTGGATAACAAGAAGTCATTAAATATATTCAGGGGAGGTAAGCAAATGTTTGTATTAAATCACTTAATACATTTATAATTGTATGTTTATATACTGCAAGAATTGCTTAATAGTTTGTATATTAAATTTATTTCTATAGTACATTAGTTCATGATTTTAGTGTTCACTGCTCATGAATTTATTTTGAACGCACGGAGTTACTTCTCACTTTATATTTATAAAATCAATGTAACTTTTAAATTTTTAAAATTATAAATCAAAGCTTGGAATTTTTATGACTTTCCAATAACTTTGTTTTCATTCAGAAATTTAATGTCACATTAATGTTTATAAGGAAATTTACATATAGTTTAATAAAATTATTTTTTTAATATAAATTTTGATTATTTATGCCCTAATATAAATAATTAACATTAACTTGCATTTTAATTAATTAAAATAATGAAGAATTACTTTAAATGCAAGAGTTTCATAAAAAATCCATATGATTTTATTACAGTCAGTAATTAAAACTAATAAAATATTTTTTTTACGAATGGGATAATTTGTTAAACTTAATTTATTGTATGAGTGTTCAATGCTTACTTCATGAAATTTTATTTATTCTGTTTTTATCAAAATAATATGGGATTTTTAAAGTAATTATTTTGTGCTAATTAAGCTTTTCATAATTTGGTATTTTCAACACATATTTTTTCTGGATTAAAAGTATTAATTTTTAAAATTTTAATGCTGAAACTAAAAGTATACTGCCGATAGAGGAAGGAAAATAAGAGTTCTATGTGTTGTTTTTTATTTCTTCGTGTACATTTATATGAATTTTTTATGGTTACCAAAATGGATCATGCTATCCAAGAAAACCAAAATATCTCATCTTGTCTGTTTCTTTGCTTGAAAATAATAAAAAGGTAAATACATTAAATAAAATGTGCATAAAAATTATTCCCATCACAAATATTATAATTCATCATTTCTTCAAAATATAAACACTAGTTCTGTCAATCAACTGAATATTTTTATTTTCTTTTTTAAACACAACAATTTCGATTTTTAAAACTATATAAGTTGAACCAGAACAAGATGAGAAAAATAGCTAAACTTAAAACTGCTTTAATATTCTTGAATTTCTCACTTTTTTTTCTTCTTTTTTTCTTTGCAATTTAAGGTTTTATAAATATATTTATTTTGACCACGATAATCTCTACTGTAACCAATATTAAAGACAGTTTCTTCAGTATTATTTTTAATGTTGCATCTTTCATCTCAGAAATCCAGATCAATTCAAATTCATAGTAAAAAAAAAAAAAAAATTTTTTTTGTTAAGCAAAACGTTTTATGACATTTTTCTTATACTTCTTTAAAAATTCGACTACAATTTAAAATGTTAAAATATGGCCCAAAAAATATATCTCATTCGTGATTGTTTTATCACGTAGGATTACATGACATAATATTATGCATTTATAAATTTCATGTCATTCTCATCAAAAAATTTAACAGACAAAATGTTCTCTTCAAAATAAAACTATATTTTTAAGACACTGTACGTATTGGATTTAGTAACTTTACTTTTACTTCCATGTATTACTTAAAGAAATTATGCTTATTTTTCAATTGCGACTTTTGAAAAAGGGGACATACGTGATACTTAAAAATGATATGTGATACATGATTACTTCATATATTTTTAATACTTTATTTTAATTTTTACATATTTTTAATTATTTAATATATAGTATTGTTATAAATAATGTATCAATCAACAGTCTCTCAGGGGCTAAA